TTTATCCAACATTCAGTTCTCAAGATCATTGTCAGAAAAATCAGAGGTACCATGTGAGATGAATCCCACACCAGATACCCTTTTGAAAGACAGGCTTTAATTAAACACATGCTATCAAGCTCAGTTACTGGATTGAATTCATCAGCTTGTCCTACAGAGGCTGAAGAGACAATTTAGCGGTTTCTATGGATCTATACTCTCATCGAAACTTGCATAAGGATGAGATACCATGAAAGCATATCCCTGATTACACATTATTATCTTGTTATAAGCAAACTGATCTAGGTAGAATAAATTTCATCAACTAAAAGAACCTAACGATTTTTTAGTGAACTACAATAAACATTGTTCAACAGGAATTTTGTCGAAATGCATTCTCTTCAGCACAGTTTCAAGCCATTGTATCTGTCCTTGTTCCAAAAAACTCCATCTTAAACTTTTGTTTTTTAATCCAGTGTTATGTGAAATTAAATTCAGTCTTGTGATCTGTGAGTTGATAGAAAAAATTGAGCAGCATCTTGATTTTTGCAGTCATTGAAAAAGAAGTTCACAACCTACATTCATTCTTTTTAAGTGGCATTTAACATAAATGCATACATATTTTTCATTATGCCATTTTTCGTAACATCTTAAATTCTCAGAAACCTCTCATCCTCAATTTTCTTGGAAGTCCAGAGATGCTCTTTACCACTCAGATTAAATGAAATGTGAATATTTTTGCCCTCTAGTGCTAGTAGATTTTCTCTGTGTCCAAAAAATACCAATTTTTTTCCCATAAAGTCTCTAAACAAATTAATATGAATCAAGTGCCAATGGCCTCTCATGCCCATCCATGGCACACACAGTTTGTTCAAAACAGTTTCAGAACTTTTCAGAAGCAATAAAACATGAAAACCTGTCAACTTTGTACCTAAACTGCTGCTTCTCCTTAGGTTCACTGGAATAACTTGTGTATAATGTGTTGGCTTGGAAAGACATTCATATTCAAAATCTGAAGGATCATATCTCCAGTAGAGGGGCCCTTTCTCAAGACCTGGCTCAGCGGCTTAAATCTCACTGCAGACAACAATGCTAGTCCAAGATCTATGTGAAACGTTCTGTGTTGTGGAAATGAGGGAAAAAATTCCCAGGCCAAATGCCCATTCCAAAGCATAAGGAAATAAACTTGTCCTATTTGAAAATCTTTGCATGGACTGCAATTTAATAGCTTCACTTTTTCCCTTCAGTGATCCCACTGCTGAACTGTCAGACCAAATCACTGCAAAATCAGGACCAAGACTTTTTATGGTGGTATCTTGCATTACCAAGGTGCCATCTTCAGTTAAAGTGCTGGAGGCACTGCCTTCTCCACTAGAACATCAGATCTATTCAAGCAGCACAGCTGTGTAACTTCTCTGATCTGGGGTAAAAGAGCTCATAGGAAGATAAACACTCTAAGTCATAAGGACATGCCTGTTTAAATCAAGGGAGACTGCAAGATGTTACAGAGGAAAAACTCTTTTCATTTGCCAAACTTCACAGATAGAACACTGACAAAAAGACAGAAACTTTGATAACTTTCATCTGCGATCCATATTGTTTGAGCTTTACTACAGACAGTTATTGGAAGTTTCTAAGTACCTAGTGGCATCTGTATCAAATATGAAATGGTAGAGATGCAGCTGAGATCACAGCATTATTAAAGCTTTAAATTAATGGATTTGCTAGCCTTTTTGCTTGTGTCATCATTCAGAGCAGGCCTGGCACTGTGTGGGATGAATAACCTGTTAAAGACTATTACATGCATTTAAAGAACCCAACTCTGTCATAACTGGAAAATCTGAAGTATTTAAAACCTTCTGAGCTAGCAAGTCATCAGCCCATCTATCACAGAGACAGAAATATCAGACTCACTGAAGAGATAATAATTCAACAAGGCTTCAGTGATATTTATAAAGATTTCAGGCTACTGAAAGGCTACTACTTACAGGCTATTTCCCTCTTTTAGAGCAAAATCTGCTGTGGATCTCACTAAGAGCGCTGGTACCTCATGTGGATTGAGTGGCATTACCTTCATCACCACCTCTAGAAGGGATGCCTCTCTGAGAGCAACTAATGTCAGGAGAATGCAAATAATATTTCGGTACTTCTGTACTTCTGATGTGATGCTGTTCACATGCACTAAGAAATACAGGCTTTTTCATAGCAGATAATTGAGGAGAACAGTGTACTGCAAATCTAACTGATTTGTTTTCACTGCTTAGACATGGAAGTTTACAATAGAAAAACACACTTCTGCAATGCTAACAACCGAGGTCTTCATATATGCCTCAGTTGGCAACGTAGTCTGTACAGGCCTCTCACTTCACAAGGAGGCAAGACACAGCATTACTGCAAGCTTTTGCAATGTCATGTGATGTGGCCTTCAGGATGTGATCTGGGAAACATAAGCTCTTTTTAGAATGCTTTGTGAGTATGTGGAGATGTAGGGAGGATAGGCACTGACACAAGGGAGAGCTTTTATAATAGTATACTGTAAGATGTGATTTTTTTTCCTGGACAATATGATTACAATCCCAGAAAGCTCTGAAAATTCACTGAATTCGCCACTTGTTTCTAAGCTGTGCAGAGCTAGAGCTAGAACAGAGCAGGAAATTCCATCCTTTAAAACCTTTATGATACTTCAAAAACATTCCCACAGTACCTTAAGATGAGTCCAAAGTCCTTTCACAGTTTTGAAGTAGAAAATGCTGCAATATTTGGGGGGTTTAGACGTATGTTATATCTCAAAGAAGTAGTTACAGAGTTGCCATGGTTTTGCCAGTCAAGTGGGAGTTGCACATTATATGTAACCATATGGCTACAGGGAAGATTTTGCTCACAAATTCAGCTATTTGTAGGTGTCTACAGGTGAGTGGAGTGTCTAGATATGCATTATAGTCAGTGGAGAGATAGTCCATACTGCCAGTGAAGACTACAGTTGTTCAGGTGAGCAAATGGAGGTGTCTATTGTAGGCTAAGCTGATGAGAAAAAGATTGTATTGACTGGCTTGAATTAGTGACATAGAGAGCTTGTGTCATTTGAGAAGCCCCATTGTATCCCACTTGGCTTCCCAGTTCCCAGTCAGAAGGTGTGAATCTTCTATAGATCCTGTATCATATCTGGTAGACCCATGTGGATGCCTCAGATACTCTATAGTCTCTCATGCGGCACTAGATATCGATGTTTAGGGAAATTAATGAAGATCACCTAGATCACCCAAGTTGGGTGTCTTAACCTTGAACTGACTCCTACAGAAATGCCCATTCAAACTCTAATAGTAGTGTGATATAGCTGAGAAATCATTCCAGATCTGCTAGTAGATTGCTGTCAAGACATAGAAGTAGTACATGAGGTGAATCATCCTGCCTTTCAACAAGCCTGATCATGTCTGAATTCATTTAAGTTACAGGAGATGGGAAGTTGGCTCATGGCCTTGGACAGAGAACTTCAGATTGCTGTAGTGAAGGAGGTATTTCTCCCACTACAAAACAGCTGAAAGAATCCCAGAACAGCCAAAAGAGAGAAAGCCTAGTACGAACAGCCAACTGGTCCTAGCCCAAGTGTGCAAAATGGAAGTGCACTAGGGTGATACAAAGTCCTGACTGACTATGAAATCATGAGGCCCAGGTACCAGCCCCTGAAGTTCACCCTGGCACCAGTGAAAAAAAAAAAGAAGAAAAAAAAAGACAGAAAAAAAGCCTGCTGTCTACATGGAAGATTCTCCTGCTGCATTAACAGTGTAAACTTGATGAATATGACAAGTACTACTGAAGGGACAGACTTCTGGTGCCTTTAACCTCATCAGATTGTGCAGCACAGTGGCTCTCCAAAAAAAAAGTATGGTCACAAAGCAACTCAGATATATGGCAAGGTTTTGAGATAACAGTAGTCACACAGTTAAGGTGTCTGTACTTTTTAGGGAAAATTTCACCACCCTATTTACTAAGAGGCAAACGGAGTGGTTGGAATTTATTGAAGGGAAGTTGGAAAGAGAACTGAGAACACTCTGCTGCCAGTATATAAAAGTAGCATGTGCTTAACCTGAGAAAGTAGTGTTGTTGCTTCTGTTAACATCACCTCAGAATTAATGAGGAAGAGGAAAATGAAGAAAAGCAAAAAAAAAAAAAAAAAAAAGCGGTGCTTCATTGGCTCAGGTATAGAAAATGCAGAGCGGCTGGGTGAGAAGACATGCTCGTTCTTTCTCGTAGTGCCACACAGGGAGCCCACAATGAAATTAAGCAGCAGCACAAACAATATATATACTGATGCAGCAGGAA